CTGATTTTGGATGTTTTCTGTGCAGGTTCTCTTTTCTGAAAAATAGGCCTTTGAAAAGTAACTGTTGTAATTCTCCAATGCATTATTAAAACTACTTCTGACAGAGACTGACTACTGCATAACTACATTGTGCATAGTATCCTGTGTTTATTCAATGTCCAATAATTCTATCCCTCCACGAAACCCCTTGAATTCCCTGTCATGTACTTAAATCTTTTTTTTTTTTTTGGTAATGGAGTTTCATTCTTGTGGTCCAAGTTGGAGTGTAATGGCACAATCTCAGCTCACTGCAACCTCTGCCTTCCAGGTTCAAGCAATTCTTCTGCCTCAGCCTCCCGAGTAACTGGGATTACAAGCGAGCACCACCACGCCTGGCTAATTTTTATATTTTTAGTAGAGATGGGGTTTCACCATGCTGACCAGGCTGATCTCAAACTCCTGACCTCGACCTCCCAAAATGCTGGGATTACAGGTGTGAGCCACCAGGCCCAGCCCTTAAATCTTTACATATATATATGAATCCAGGAGGCAGAGGTTGCAGTGAGCAGAGATTGTGCCATTGCACTTCAGCCTCTGTGACAGAGCGAGACTCTGTCTCAAAATACATTAATTAATTAAATTAAATTAAATTAACTTTTCCAGCCTTAAAAAGAAAAGTTCCTTCAAAATTTTTATCCAGTAAGAACAATTTAGTAAGCATTATTCTGATTGTATTCTACGTATATTCCTCTACAAAAATTTCATCATCACTCCCATCAAATCTTTTTTTGTTCTAGGCCAGCAAAATGGCCTTTTCCTAAATAAATACATGCCTGGGGAGGAGAAGATTTAAATACTAATCACAAAATTTAGAAATTTAAGATACAACCCAAATAATAAAGCCCTCTAAATATTTTTAAAACCATTCCTTCCACTGTGTTTTTGGGAAGTATGGATCATCCTGGAAATTAAAAAATTTGCAGCACTTATAATCTAACCTTTTAAAAATAATCTGGCTAACAACTGAGTATTAGTAATGTTTTCCACATAATTTATATTTGAAGAGCAAATAACTTCAAATACAAGAAAATATCCCCTAACTACTCAAGTTTCTTGCCAATCTCAGCAACACATTCTTTGAAGGAAATGGTGGGAAAAGAGCAATGTCAAGTGTTTTGAAAATGAGAAATAAAGTAACTAATTAACTTTATGTTTCTCTCTGAGTTGGGCAAAGTTCTATAAGTAAATGACTTCAATTAGTTGGAAATAGGAATTCAGAGCTTTATCTTTTGGGATCACAATATCAATTGATGTCATCATAAACCCTGCTTATGGTTCTAGTGATAATGAAGCTATTCAGAAAATAAAAATGAATGAATGAAGTCGCCATTTATTTGATTAATTCAAACCCCAGTTTCTCTGATTTCAGCAGTGGTGGGAGAATCAAAACTTGAAAAAGATAATGAGATTTTCCACAGCTGTCTCCGGCTTCCTAGGATTCACCCTGAGGTTTTCTCAATAATTTCTACTGTGATGGCCTGAGCTATTTGACCTTGACCAGATATGTACATCTCTTTCCTTCCTACTCCAGAGCATAGCCAAAAATTGCCTCCAATGTTTCAAAAGACTTTATACCAAGGCTAGGGGAATGCAAAGAGGGGGAGCAACCGGATGCCAAGTCTAAGACACAGTATTAGAAAACGCAGTTTGCCCTCAGAAACTCTTAAGACTTATCTCTCCTGCTTAGCTGATCTGACCAGCATCTGCATGCCATCTTACCACTGTGCCTGCAGACTCCTACACTTCAGTGTCACCCCTCCTCAAACACTAGGCCCAAGAGAGGACCAGCCAAAGGCAGAAAGCAAAGTTGCTTCCCCTGACAGCCAAAGGCCAACCTTCTGCATTCTGGTGTCATATATCTAACATGCCCACCTCTTCCTGTGATGACTGACACTGGCAATGTCCACCTCCCCCAGGGCTATTGTCTTACAGGCTAAATCAGTATTGTCTTCTATTGTACCATCTGGAGTCCATTCTACAAGTCCCAGAACTCTACTATCGCTAAGGGAGTTCAGCAGGTCCTGACAGTTAAAACTCAACCGATTCAATGGTAAACAAGAATACCTATCAGTTAATTTATTTTTAGAAATGTATGGGCTCAGTGATTTGAATCATCTGTGTGTATAACAATTACCTCCTATTCAGATCAAAGAACAGAAAATTATTTTTGCTAAACAAGAGTTTAAGTACACAGCAAGCATTATTGGTGAATGGGGGGTTCCACATAAGTAAATTTTCTGGGTAACTAAAATTTTACCCTTAGTGTTGGCTAAATTTTTACTGACATGAAAAGTAACTTTCAAAAATGTACCTTATATCTGACATCTTTGAGGATTCTGACTGCTGCTAATCTCTCTCTCCTTTTTCTCTCCACTTCTGTGGCTTCACAGAATTTCATTCTCTTCATTCTACTCTTTCCTGATTCCCCGCTAACCCCTTTAAACAATGGCATTGTTGGGGGCTCTATCCTATGCCCTCATGCTACTACACAATCTTCTTGAGCAGTGATGATTGTAATTTAGGTTTAAATGTGCACTACAGTTAGTTAAACACATGGTTTAACTCTACACTATAACAACATACTATACACTGATGATTCCCAAATATACATCCTCAGCCTGGGCTTCCCTTGCACTTCCAACCTACATATGCAATTTATAACTCAACTCCAAGGCTTGGACAGGATGTAGCATGACCTCTTAAACTGCTATCCAATCAAACTCATTATCTCCAAAGCTGCTCTTCCTCATCTTGTCTTGGATCCTAGTTAATAGGATCACCATTCTTCTAGCCACCCATGAAATCCAGAATCTTCCTCAACCTCTACATATTCTCTCTCATCCCACACTGTCAGTTTCAAAATACGCTTAGTATCTCTTGTGTTCAACTCATTCTTTCTATTCCCAGTGTTAATGTCCTTGTTCTTAGCTGTCATTTGCAACAAAATATTCCTAGAAGCTCTGCCTCCATTCAGACTTCATTACCACTAAAGAAGTATTTTCAATGTGCAAACTGAATGTCATTTCCAAGACCAAAACCTTTCTGTGACTGATATCTGTGTTACATATACAGGAAAGTCCAGTCTTTTTCACATGGCATACAAAGACCTCCACATCATAACTCCTGGTTACATTTCCTGTTTTCTACTATTTCCTGCCTCAACCCCTCTATCCTACATGCCTTTAATTTACATTTATTTGACATTTTGGAAACATACTATGTTAAACCACACTGCCAATGGAATATGCTTCCGGCCCCTACCCACTATTCCCACCCTTTTCTTTACCTTGAGAACTACTATTTATCCTTTGGAACCCAACTTAAAAGCATCCTTCCTCCATGAAGCCTTCTCTGACATTGCTTAGTAGAGTTGCTGACTCCTCAAAATTAGATATAGAGGTATAACAGTTACCTTATTCTAATGCAATTACTTGTTTACAACTCTATCTCCATTTGATTAAGCTCATTGGCAGAAAGGATCATGTCTTATTTATCTCTGTATTTCTTCTCTCCAGTCCCAAGCAATAGCGAGGTGTCTAGTAAATGTCTAATGGCGGGTTGTCTGCATGTATGGTTAAAGGTAGCTCTATCACTTCTCCTTTGGAATGAAATGTGTATACTTTGTGATTACTGTTTTACTCAGAGTGCTTTTTGTTAACTTCCAGGTTTTGTCTATGTACTTCATGTTTGACATTGCCAAGAGTCTGACTTCTGGATAAGAGGATTGTTACTGTACCATGTACCCTCATAGCATATTCTATTCCAACTGTGATTAAAATAACTGAACCACATTTTTCCATTAAGGGCTGTGAACCTTTGAGTAAATTAGGTTATATGTGTTCCCTAAACAGATGTTACTTTTTCCTGACTTTATGTCTCTTCAAAATATATACCTCACTCCTGCTTCACTCCCATTATTTTATCTGTTTCAAATCCTTTTTGGAACAGAAGTTTACAAAATATACATGTATACTTTGTTTAGACTGATGCTACTGTTTTCTTTCAGTATTAAAACACACATCCATGTTGTATTTATCTTTCCATTGTTACAATTTATCTCAAGTTTTTGCACTGATTTAATTGACATAGATTTTTGCTGAAGAATATCTTAGGTATTTTTCTGATTTTACATTGCAATTGTAGCTATGAGAGATTGCCAGGTTTTTAACCTAATGACATAGTGATTGTCTTTAAACTTAATTTTTGATTTACCTCACTTCTTGGTCCACAATCTCTCTGCTTCCCATAGACCTCTCTTAATGAGAATATTTGAAATTTGTTTTTCTGAGGCAAAATTAGTATTTTCTTAAGTTTGAGCACTGTTCTCAAAATCAAGTATTAAATGATTGTTACAATACTAAAAATAGAAAATAATTTTTGTATTCTTTTTGAAGGTTATAAAATCACCTTACCTGATTAGACTGTGATAATCCTAGGATGGTGGGAAATTCATCTTTAAACTCATCTACAAGGTCCATGATTACTTTCTGGATCCCCTCGACTAAAACAAAAAAAGGTTACGGAAAAACAAAACAAAACAAAAAACCTTTGTAAACATCCCCTGAAAGATTCAAAAGAACATGAAACACTGAATCAAATTCCTAGATGACTGGGAAAGGAAAGGAGCTCTAGGGGATCTCATTCCCAGTTGTTCCCACACCCATACCCCCTTTACGACAAGATTGTGTGTACTTCTTCCAGAAAAGTTCTTCAACACCTGCCCACATATCCACCCAACAGGTTTGATTAGCATGATGAGTTCTTGCTTGGGTTCCTACTGCTTAACAAGCTTGCAGGCCTGGGCAATGCTTGTCCTAGTCTGCCATTAGTGAAGGATGAGTGTAGCCTTCCACTTGGGAAAGCCAGCAAAGACGGAACTCACAGCTCACTGCTGGAATTCTTTGTTACTGCACAATAGGCTTCTGAGAACTTACTACAGAATATTCTGAAACCACTCTGGCAGTGAGAGGAGGAAGAATGTGCTTGGAGTCATAAGGGAAGGAGTGAGGGGATTGAATAATAAAGACACTGAGGAGTTCTATGATATAAGTTGAAATTTGTCCCAAATTCTGCAGTGATACCACAAATAATGGATCACCTGAGAACAAAGATCCCTTTGAAAAAAATTGGCATGTGCTTTAAAAGAAATGCTTCATATGTGATGCCAAATAGAAAAGAAACACCAGCAGTGAATTCAGAAAGACTTCTGAACAGATTATTTTTGCTTCACTAATGAGGATCAGTAGATCAAACTCATTATCTGGAGGATGAGAACTAATATAGATTAAAGTCTAAGTACTAGTATCTGTGCTACGGACTAAGTTAACATCATTTATCTTTTTTAATTCCCTTAACAACTCTGACGTAGGAATGTTTTGAAAGCACTCTAAAAGTATCAGTATGAATACATTTGTATTATCAATATCAAACGTCAGTCCTCAGTAATAGGTTTTTTGTTTGTTTATTTGTTTTGAGACAGAGTCTCACTCTATCACCCAGGCTGGAGTACAGTGGCGTGATCTTGGCTCACTGCAACCTCTGTCTCCCAGGTTCAAGTGATTCTCCTGTCTCAGCCTCCCAAGTAGCTGGGATTACAGGCGCCAGCTACCATGCCCAGCTAATTCTTGTATTTTTAGTAAATGTGGGGTTTCACCATGTTGGCCAGGCTGGTCTTGAACTCCTGACCTCAGGTGATCCACCTGCCTCAGCCTCCCAAAGTGCTGGGATTACAGGCCTGAGCCACCATGCCTGGCCAATAATAGTTTTTATAATGATCGTTAAAGCAGGGCTATTTTGAATAGTATAGAATGAAAATAATTCAAATACCCAACATTCATCAAATGATTGTTACCTCAAGATTATGGAAAAGTTTCTGTTCATTACATTTGTAAAATGTAAAATTATGTAAAACAATATAGTTTATAAGCATCCAAGGTTATATGTGTACAAATGAGACTTAGAGAGTAATCTAGCAGTAAAAAAAAAAAAACAAAAAACAAAAAACAAAACAAAACAAAACAAAAAAAAAACCAAAAAGCTCCAAGTAAAAAAAAACCTAGGAAATATTATTTCCATAAGATTGTTCACTTATGTCTAATTAATTAAATACCAGGTTTATGTCATGAATTGAAAGTATGATTGTGTACCACTTTGCTTTGAGACTAGTGAAAAGTTTTATATAAATCAATTGAGTGTGCAGAAGAAGTCACAACACCTACTATTAAAGATTTGGGTCCCGATGTTGGAGAACTGAAAGAAAAACCTAATGAAATTTTATGTGAATGAGACTGCAGGACCCTCCTGAGGAGGGTGGGTAACTCAGATTCAGTAAGGCATCCCACTCTGACAAATCCAATCTGGTAGTAAGGCCTTAATAATCAGGGGAGAGGCGTGACTCTGAGCACAGCCTGGTGTATGTCCCTCAGCAATATCCTTGAGCCCACATTCCACAGGGATGAAAAGATAAGCCTTAAGTAGTCTTCCTAAACTTTCTTTTTTTTTTTTTTTTTTTTTTGAGACGGAGTTTCGCTCTTGTTACCCAGGCTGGAGTGCAATGGCGCGATCTCGGCTCACCGCAACCTCTGCCTCCTGGGTTCAGGCACTTCTCCTGCCTCAGCCTCCTGAGTCGCTGGGATTACAGGCACGCGCCACCATGCCCAGCTAATTTTTTGTATTTTTAGTAGAGACGGGGTTTCACCATGTTGACCAGGATGGTCTCGATCTCTTGACCTTGTGATCCACCCGCCTCGGCCTCCCACAGTGCTGGGATTACAGGCTTGAGCCACCGCGCCCGGCCTCTTCCTAAACTTTCTAAGGCAGCGAGCACAAATTAGCTATACAACTAGATATTCCTTCCACAGAAAGCAAAACAAAAAAGGGAAAAGAGGCATTCTCTAAGACTTTGCCAAAGATCTCTGGCAATCAAAAATTTCATTGTAAGGGAAGAAAAGACCCAGTTAGAAGACATGCTTGCAGCCACAAAGCATATAAAAAATGTTCAACATCACTAATAATTAGAGAAATGCAAATCAAAACCACAATGAGATACCAGATAAAGAAAATGTGGTATATACACACCATGGAATACTATGCAGCCATAAAAAAGAATAAGATCATGTTTTTTGCAGCAGCATGGATGGAGCTGAAGGCCATTATCATAAGCAAAATAATTCAGGAACAGAAAACCAAATACTCCATGTTTTCACTTATTTATAAATGAGTGCTAAACAACAAGAATACATAGACACAAACAAACAACACAGGGAACAGCAGAGACTGGGGCTTTCTTGAGAGTGAAGGTTGGAAGGAGAAAGAGGATGAGAAAAAATATTGGGTACTATGCTTAATACCTGGGTAATGAAATAATCTGTACACCAAACTCCCGTGACATGGGTTTACCTAGATAACAAACCTACATATGAACCACTAAAATAAAAGTTTTTTTAAAAAGAAAACAAAAGAACAATGTAAAACACTCTAATGTTAAACAGAATTGGAAATATCGTGAACTCATGATTTTTAAGATTATATTTTTTTCTAGATGTACAGGCAGAAATGGCTAGAATCATGGCCAACCCAGTAGAAAAGAGCACCCTAGTGTCTAAATTCTGGGCTTTAATACCATTTCTCAGTACAATGAAGCAGGACTCCTTAAAGAAATATGTGATACCAAGTCTGGGGCAGGAGAAGCACAAAGTGAGCCAGGGAAATCTTATGCTAGAAAGTTAGGATCATTTTGAAGATTGATGGGGTCCTTTTAAAGGGAAATTCAGGCCAGCTTGAAATGGTTCCTACTGGTCTTAGTTGTGATGATATGAGCTTTGCAATGGGAAACATTAGCCTGGTGTGGTGTCATGCACTTGTAGTCCCAGCTACTCTGGAGGCTGAGGTGGGAGGAACGCTTGAGCCCAGGAAGTTGTGGCTGCAGTGACCCACGCTGGCACCACTACACCCCAGCCTGGGAAAGAGAGAAAGAACTTGTCTCAAAAAAAGGCAAATAAATAAATATTAAATACATTTTAAGTATATATACAGTCCATATATATGGTATGTATATATGTATATGTAAGTTCCAAATATTGTTATGATCTTTAGTTAGAAGTCTTAAATTTATCTACTTAGACTGTAACCTCTGCAGAGCATGACTAAAAGTATAGATTTTGTATTTTAATCTCTTCAGCCATGGTCTTAGAGTGTATTACTTAATTACCTAGCTATTAAGCAAATCTCCTTAGTCAAACCAACAATGTTCAAACGTAATGAAAAAGAAAACTGGTCATTTTATGTAACTCTACGTAATTATAAAAAAGTGTTATGCTCATTCAACAGTGCTAAAAATAAAAATGCTAAAGGATACATCCCACCCTTTCTTTTAACCCAACACTGCCAGTGAGTTGTTGATGATACCTTCTTTAGGAGGGAGCCCGGACATGACATAATTCACTCTGTGAATTTATCTAAAATTTCCATGAAACTAAATTTATTTTTAACCAATACCAACTATCTTAGAGATTTCTAAATTACTTTGTACAAAAATAATTCTTACCTGTGAAGGATTGAAGAATGTGCCTCTTCGACATAAGAATTATTTTGAACTGAAGTCAATTAAAAAGAAACAGACACAAGAACAGCTCTCTGCCCTCCCCTTTCTACCAGGGAGGGCAGGAATTTGAGACCGGCCTGGCCAACATGGTAAAATCCTATCTCTACTACAAATACAAAGATTAGCTGGGTGTGGTGGTGTGCACCTGTACTCCCAGCTACTTGGGAGGCTGAGACAGGAGAGTCGCTTGAACCCGGGAGGTAGAGGTTGCAGTGAGCTGAGATCATGTCACTGCACTCCAGTGTGCGAGATAGAGTGAGACCCTGTCTCAAAAACAAATAAACACGTTTACACTCTTATACATTGTTGAGAACCCCCTAATAGCTTCTGTTTATGTGAGTTATATCTATTTACAATTATCTTATTAGAAACAAACACTGAGAAATATATGCAATATTTGTTAATTCATATGATATGCAGCTTCTTGGTGGCCCAGTGATCCCTGCCTCCTAGTCTTCATGCCCTGGTGTAATCCACTTCACTTGAGTGTGGACTGGACTTATTCATTCCCTTGACTACAGCAGAAATGATGGAATGTTACTTCAGATAGTAGGTTACAAAAAGGCTGTGGCTTCTGTCTTGCTCTTTCTCTCTCTGAATCACCGTTTCTCTCTCTGAGGAAAACCAGCTACCATGTTGAGAGTTGTCCTATGGAAAGATCCATGTGGTAAGGAACCAATGTCTCTGGCCAAATAGCAGTGAGGACCTGAGACCTGTTACTAGTCATATAGTGAGTTTAAAAACAGATCCTCGCCCAGTGAAGCCTTAAGATGACTATCGCCCCACTGACAGTTATAGCTTTGTGAGAGACCCTGAGTCAGAGATATCCAACTAAGCTGCACTTGGACATCTGACCCACAGTAACATTGAGATAATGAATATCAACTGTTTTAAGCTGCTAAATGTTTGGGTAATTTTTACATAGTAAAATATAACTAATACAATTCATTTAAAATGAACAATAATAACATTTTCCTTTTTTTCATTTTTTATATTTATTTATTTTTTATTGCATTTTAGGTTTTGGGGTACATGTGAAGAACATGCAAGATTGTTGCATAGGTACGCATGTGGCAGTGTGATTTGCTGCCTTCCTCCCCATTATCTATATCTGGCATTTCTTCCCATGTTGTCTCTCCCCAACTCCCCACCCCCCACTGTCCCTCCCCTGTTTCCCCCCAACAGACTCCAGTGTGTAGTGGTCCCCTCCCTGTGTCCATGTGTTCTCATTGTTCAACACCCACCTATGAGTGAGAACATGCGGTGTTTGATTTTCTGCTCTTGTGTCAGTTTGCTGAGAATGATGGTTTCCAGGTTCATCCATGTCCCTACAAAGGACACGAACTCATCGTTTTTGATGGCTGCATAATATTCCATGGTGTATATGTGCCACATTTGCCCTGTCCAGTCTATCATCAATGGGCATTTGGGTTGGTTCCAGGTCTTTGCTATTGTAAACAGTGCTGCAATGAACATGCGTGTGCACGTGTCCTTATAGTAGAACAATTTGTAATCCTTTGGATACATACCCAGTAATGGGATTGCTGGGTCAAATGGAATTTCTATTTCTAGGTCCTTGAGGAATCGTCACACTGTCTTCCACAATGGTTGAACTAATTTACACTCCCACCAACAGTGTAAAAGTGTTCCTATTTCTCCACATCCTCTCCAGCATCTGTTGTCTCCAGATTTTTTAATGATGGCCATTCTAACTGGCATGAGATGGTATCTCAATGCAGTTTTGATTTGCATTTCTCTGATGACCAGTGATGATGAGCATTTTTTCATGTGTTTGTTGGCTTCATGTATGTCTTCTTTTGTAAAGTATCTGTTCATTTCCTTTGCCCACTTTAGAATGAGCTTGTTTGTTTTTTTTCTTGTAAATCTGTTGGGAAAACTGGCTAGCCATGTGCAGAAAGCAGAAACTGGACCCCTTCCTGACACCTTTCACTAAAATTAACTCCAGATGGATTAAAGACTTAAACATAAGACCTAACACCATAAAAACCCTAGAAGAAAATCTAGGCAAAACCATTCAGGACATAGGCGTAGGCAAGGACTTCATCACCAAAACACCAAAAGCATTGGCAACAAAAGCCAAAATAGACAAATGAGACCTAATCAAACTCCACAGCTTCTGCACAGCAAAAGAAACAGTCATTAGAGTGAATCGGCAACCAACAGAGTGGGAAAAAATTTTTGCAGGTTACCCATCTGACAAAGGGCTGATATCCAGATTTACAAAGAACTAAAACAGATTTACAATAATAACATTTTCTATGAAAAATAACTATTTTCTAAAATAAAAAATGTAGTAAGCTGAGGGATACTGTTTTCATTTTTGCAAATCTCTTCCATGTCTAGTACCATTGGAGACATTTGGTTCCTCATATCTGCTTCTGAATTTAAGCTGTTGCAGTACATTGTTTTGGGTGAAATACATGAAGAAAACCATGCTTTACACTGATAAGTAATTGTAAAAGAAAAGAGTGTTGTAACAGTTTTTCCAGATAGCAGTGGGCATTGCTCTTTGATCCTACAGCAGTACTTAACAGATGATGCCTTAGCACAGTGTTTCATGCCTGTAATCCCAGCATTTTGGGAAATCAAGGCAAGCGTATTGCTTGGTGCCAGGAGTTCAAGACCAGCCGAAGCAACATAGCAAGACTCTGTCTCTACAACAAATTTAAAAAATTAGCCTGGTGTGCAGGTGGCTGAGATGGGAGCAGCACTGAATCTAGGAGTCCAAAGTTGCAGTGAACTAAGAGCTAGAATTGTACCACTCCACTCGAAGCTGGCAGACAAAGACCCTGTCTCCAAACAAAACAAACAAAACAAAATGGTAGTTCCTTAAAGACTAGTTGCAACCTAGATACCATATCAATGAACTTTTTATGCTCTGTTATGTTAAAAGTGTATAGATCTATCTTGCACTTTGAATGGCTCATTTACGAATGCATAATTTTATAACATCATTTATTGATTATCGGTTCTCTCAAGATCTTTCACTGATATGTTTAGTTTTATAAGCCCCCACAAAAGCCCCAAAACAAAAAACCAATCTTTGCTAATATCACCACTGCTCTTATCAGAAAAGCTTTAAATATTAGAAACCTGTTATATTAATTATCTTTTGTTGCATAGCAAATTACCCTTAACTCAGCAACTTAAAACAATAAACTTTTATTATCTCACACTTTCTTTGGGTACGGAATCCAAGAGTGGCTTAGCTAGATGGTTCTGGCTTGAAATCATTTAAGAGGTTGCAGTCAAGCTGTTGACTGGACTGTGGTCATATTAGGACTCAACTGAAAGATGGTCTAATTCCAAGCTCACTCATGTGCCTTTCGGCTGCTTCAGAAGATCTACTCCCAAGTTCACTCCCATGGTTTCTGGCAAGCCTCAGTTCCTTACCACGTGGCCTCTCCAGAGGCTGCTTGAGTGTGTCCTCAGCTGGCTTCCCTCTCTCAGGGCCACCTTACAACCTGGTGGATTGTCCCATGGTGAGCAGTTCAAAAGAAAGAGGGGTGGCAGGGAAAGAGAAAGAGAGGGGGACACAGAGACACAGAGAGCAAGATGGTCCACTCAAGATGGGAGCCACAGTCATTTTATAGCTAATCTCAATACGATAGCTCATCAATTCAGCCATATTCTAGTCATTAGAAAAAATTGACTCCACAATCAAGGGGAGGGAAAGTAATCTCCGCCTCTTGAAAGGAGCTGTATCAAAGAATGTATACCTATAGCTACAAAACCACCATAAATTATCAAGCTCATCATGCCGGTTGCAAGTTTTCCCAAGTTCTAATCTTCGCTTTAAAGCTCATTTTATCATTGGCAATAAACACTGTCAGTTGTTTTCCTTGAAATGACAGACTCGCTTCTTTTACATTTGAGAAAATATCTGCCAAATACCCAGCTCCTATAACCACAGTTGGGTGTTTTTGTCAGTCATTCTTTCAAGTGAAAATGACATTCCATGAAAAAAAAAAAAAAAAAAAAGGAGCTTGTAGCTCAAACAATTATAGAAGTGCATTTCCTTGAGGCAATCATGTGTTTCAGTAAGCAGCAGAAGTGCCTATGTCTACTTCATATTTAATTATGTGGAATGTTAAAATCATGTGTTCCCTGGGGTCACTATTTAATATATGTACTCAAGCTTCTTAAGTAAAACTGATTTCTTCTTTTCTCTTTTGGTACAGACTAGAGTGCTTGGGACTTTCCTTTGGGAGAATCACTGTGGGAAGGAGTAAATAAGGCAATGCTTCATGGAAAAAGCTGTGCCCTGAGATTAGATGGGAATTACATTTAGATTGGCAGAGTAGGAAACGTGGGAGAGGAAAATAAGCAAAAATGGTGGGCTGGAATGAAATGAGCATGTAATGGTCAAGAGTAAAGAGAGGGAAGGCTAAGTTCACAGCCAGCTGTGGGCTTGACGCAAGCACCTGTGAAGGGAGCCAGTCAGATTCTCACAGCAGACTCCTGCTGAAGGGGCAGTGTCAGGCAGACTTCTAGAAGCTCAGGGACTAGATTGTTACCTGGCCAGAAACGCAGTAGAAGGCTCCCAGAAGGCTTCCAAGAGACAAATTACCTCGGGTTATTTGCCACTCCTAAGGGCACCAATGTCAGTCATAACCATGCAGTTAAGTAAGAGCTTTTCCCATGTTACCTTTTCTCCTTCCCTCTTGCAGCATTGAAGAAGTAAAACGAGAAACTAATGAGGGAGAAGGGGAGCTTAGGAGAGGAAAAGCAGCTGAGTTCCCTCACTCCTCCACTGCAGACTTCCAAGCCTGGAGCAAAACTCAACTGGGAATGGGAAGAAGTTTTCAATGAAATGAGATTAACATTTGGTTTATCACATTGAACTGGACTCCATTTAAAAAAAAAAAAAAAAAAAAGACTATTTATGACCTGAAAGCAACAACAAAATTATTATTATTTATTTATTACACTGAGCTCAATTACCAAAAAAAAAAAAAAAAAAAAGACTATTCATTTATACCTGAGGGCAACAACAAACCATAAAATCTCTCTGAGATTTGAAAGGGCTGGGAGTGGACGCTGTGAGCTGGAACAAATGGACATGCATGAAGGTCAGTGGGAGCTTTCAGTATGCACCTTGCTCAGTTCAACTCATTTAATCAAGTGCTTCCAATACCTGTGATTCATTGAGCTTCTGTTTTTGCCAGGTTGAGTTCTGCTGGGTATATTTTAATGAAGGAACAAAATGAATTTATATTTAGGAGCACGGTGTTTTACAATTATTGTAACCAGGTTAACCCGAATTCATATCCTTGCTCTGCTACTTGAAAAAATGTGACACATTGTAAATCTCTTGTACCTTTGGTGTTCTCATCTTTGAAATGGGGATAAATGATGCCTACTTCACAGGGCTGCCATAAAGAGTAAATGAGATAATACACGTACAGGAAGTATCACAGTGCCTGGTATACAGTCAGCACTCCATAGGTAGCATCAAGGATTACGATCATGCTCTTAGTCTGGTAACCTGACCAGTGGGAAACATTGAACAGGAATTAGTGTACAAAATAGACTGAAGATGAATCAAGGCTAAGAAGAGGAAGAAAGATGAGAAACATTTAGCAACAACAACAACAAAATGCTAACACAATAGCCATAGAAATGGAATAGAAGGGACAAATATAAAGGATATTTGAGAGGAAAATGGACATAAGAGATAACTGCTTAGACATATATGGTGAATGAAAGTAAAGGAAGAGTCCAAGGCAGCTTACATTTTAAAAGCTTGCTTGGGTTGGAAAATAGTAGAAATGGGAGAAATACAGAAATTGCCAGGGTGAGCAAGTTTGGTGGGTGAACGTAGTGGGAAGAAATATGGTTTTGTTTTACTATAAGATTTTGGGACTTTCAAGTACGCATATCTTAAGCATATTTGCAAAGTTATTTATTTATTATTCATTCATTCATTCATCTAATATTTCTTGAAAGCCTACTTTGTGACAGACACCATGCAAGGATGTAGCAGGAACAATCTAGTAAAGAGTTGGAGTTTGAATGGGACATCTGAGCCAGACAGAAATATCTGGGGCCTTCAATAGAGCTGGTCTCCAAAACCATGAATATTAATCAGTTTTCTATGAAGAACATCAAGAAAACAACTTCTGAAAATATGAACAGTTAGGGAGTCATGAGGAATGGTCAAAGGGCTGAGAGCTAAAGCAGTGTCTCATGTTGTAATTATTTTTATATTAAATTCTAACCACCTATAGCTTATAAATATAAAATCATATCAACAAAACAATTTCATAGTAGCTATCCATATTTTTAAATTTTTATTGTAGAATAATTATAAAATTACAAGAATTTGCAAAAATAGTAGTGAGTTCCCATTTAACCTTTATGCAGTTTCTCCCAATAACTACATTTTTAAAAACAAATTTTTTTTAGAGACAGGATTTTAACATGTTGGCCAGGCTGGTCTCGAACTCCTGGCCTCAGTGATCTGCCCACCTCGGCCTTCCAAAGTGCTGGGATTACAGATATGAGCCACCATGCCTGGCCCTAATAACTACCTCTTATATAACAATAACACAATATCAAAACCAGGAACTTGACATTGATATAATCCACTGACTTGATTCAGATTTCACCAGTTTTACATGTACTAGTGTGTGGTATGAGTATAGTTCTAAGCCATGTTATCACATATATAGATTCATATAATTTTTCATCTTTATTTCTTCAAATATTTTCCTTTTTCTCACTTCAGTTACTTAGATGAGGTGAAGAATCCACATCATGAGAATTGGAAAAAACAATTTTTGTAGTTTACTGATACTCCCTAATGTTCAAACAGCCCAATATAGCAAAGGCCACAAAGATTTGTAAAGCAGTTAATTAACAAGTAACACATGTATTTTATAGTGCTTCATCTGTAAAACGTGAGTTGTGATTTCTAAAGTCCTTTATAACTCTGAAATTCTGCAATTCCAGAATTTAATTCCAAGGTTACTTAACCTCTTGATATAAAGCAGAAAATTGTGGCAACTGCAGTAATTCTTTGGAGGCAGAGTCAGTCTCTTACCTTATCAGGCCAGTGGTCAGTGGGACACAGTTAATCACTGTCTTATTGCAGTAAAAACACTCTGCTAGCTTGGGACATTTAACCAGGTTCCCACAGGAACCTGCTTCTCCAAGAGGGCTTTGTAAACCTTTGATAACAAGAGAATAAGCTAATCAATAGTTTTTCTAACAAAAAAACTACTATTTTTTAATAAAAATATTTTTATATTGTTTTAATAATATTTTAACTAAAACATCTATACTGGTAGCATACAGTGTATTAGTATTGAGCTTCATTCCCACTCCCTTAAATCCAAATCTGTAGTATTCCTATCTTGGCAAGACAAAGAAAAAGCATCCTCTGTTTAGGAAGAAAATAGTGTTAAACTAGTTGTCAAGAAAATCATTTATAAGCTAGATTCCCCTCTAAAAGGTCTATAATTAATTTTATGAAAATAGTAAAAGCTTTTGTGCTTAGACAAAATGTTAGACGATCCCTAAAGATCAATGGCAGAATAAATATTTGCAGGCTGAGAAAACACTGCTTTGTGAAAATTGCCATGAGATGTAGACTTTGTACGACAGTTACATTTGAAAGCCTGAAAGACTTCATATGTTTTACAGATTGATGGCAAAACACAGCAATCAAAAAGCTAGATTTCTAATTCAGTAACGTTCTAGAAAAAAACAGCAACAATAGTGGACTAAATCATTTGATGATATTACTTCTACTGAACAACAGTTAATGGAGTATATTTAAATCCTTAAAGGATTGTTCAGTACCTTTTTCCATTTTAAACTGTACTAATACTTCCATTTCATGATACCAAAATTCTCTCAAGGGGAAACTTAAGAGCACATACTACTTGCTTTCAGTCAACAGAGTCAGTAGAGAAAAAAAGAAAAGCCTCCTCGCTAAGAGGAGTAAAACATGACCCCATAAACAGCAGGTGTTTAAAAAAATTATGGCAAAACCACAACACATACACAAACACACACAATTTTTCATGCTACCTTCAAATTTTTGGCAGAGATCCACAGCACATCCTGGGGCTCAAAAAGTAGTTTGTCCTCATATTTAAAAATATGTAGTTTGTACTCATATTTAAAAATACGTATCCAATTTGGAAATACCCATCACGGGATAGAATTCACATAGAGATCATTTGCAGAGCAGTTCCAGGCACAACTCTGGGAGAAAGGCCTGAGTGTCCCTAAATTACAGACGCTCAGAAGCATCAAGTGACTTTCCCCTATCACTCAGCTGCCCAGAGGCAGAAAGAAAATAAAAACCAAGTTTGTCTAACTCAAAAATTTGCTACCCTTAGATATATTCTACACTACCATCTACGAGTCATTGGTGTATATTTAAATAGTCAGAGGCCAGGTGCAGTGGCTCACACCTGCAATCCCAGCACTTTCGGAGGTGAAGGCAGGATCACCACTTGAGACCAGGAGTTCCAGACAAGCCTAGGCAACATAGCAAGACCCCAGCCCTACAAAAAAAATGTTTTCTAAATCAGCTGGGCATGATGGCACACTCCTATAGTCCTAGCGACTTTGGACGTTTAAGAAAGAGATTTGCTTGTGCCCATGAGTTTGAGGCTGCAGTGAGCAATGATTGCACCGCTGCACTCCAGCCTGGGTGACAGAGCAAGACAGTTTCAAAAACATAAACAGAGCAAAAACTCTACTGAGGAACATTCAGCACTTCACTCCTGTATTTTGCATTTACTTCATTTCTTTCTTTAAAATTTGCTATAAAGTGCCATTTGCATTAAATCAGAACCCTTTTTCATTTGACTAAGTCTAACTGTATGTCTGAGTATTATTTTCTGTTCTTTTGGTAAAGGAAAATTTAAATATTAAGGGGGAAAACAGTATTTGGAACATATTTAACAAAGGGCTAAAATCCTCACTTAATATGTAATTAATAAATAAGTACAAAAACATGCAAAATGAGGGAAGATGGCAAAGAACTTTTACAGACAATCACAAAGTATTTATTTCCTTAACAGGTATTTTCTGAATGTCTACCATGTACTCTATACTGTGCTATGTATTAGGGATACAATGAAAAAGTATTTATTGACTTCATGCTACATTGTTTAAAAAATGGGTTATTTAGGGCCAGACATGGTGGTTCATGCCTGTAATCTCAGCACTTTGGGAGGCCAAGGTGGGTGAATCACTTGAGGTCATGAGTTCGAGACCAGCCTGACCAACATAATGAAACCTCGTCTCCACTAAAAATACAGAAGTTAGCTGGGCATAGAGGTACATGCCAGTAGTCCCAGCTACTTGGGAGGCTGAGGCAGGAGAATTGCTTTAACTCAGAAGGTGGAGGTTGCAGTGGGCCAAGATTGCACCAGTGTACTCCAGCCTGGGCAACCAGAGGGATAGCCCATCTAAAAAAAAAAAAAAAAAGTTAAAAAAATTCCATTTTTCAAAAATATGTATGCATATATTCATAAAAATATCTGGAAGGATATATATCATATATTCATAAAAATATCTGGAAAGCTGTATATCAAGAGATTATCAGTGGGTGGTGGATTTGTTTATTTGAAACAAAATAATAAAAATGTATTTCTTTTATAATAAAATAGTTCCATAAAAATTAAAAAACTATAGACATTTAATCACTCAATTATTTTACATATTGTTCAGAGTTTTTGGTAATAAAAATGTATTTCTCTTTTCTTATACAATGGAAGATAGACTCCAATAGAAATGGACTTCTTCCTTCCTTTTATGCCACTATCACCCCACTTCCTGTACTCTACTCTCAAGATACAACACACACAAATGCTGACAAACGTGTATGTAGATACACAAATACACAGACAGAAGACTGTCCCCATCACTGTGCG